GGATAAAACAGTGTTATTTTTGGGAGTGGGGTGGACTTGTGTCCTTCTTAAGAAGACAGACATTAGTTGAAGGGCTTTCAGAGGAGAACCCTCTTTTTGATGCTGTTCTGTGTTTAAAGTGCAATGCAGTTGAAGTTTGATTTAAAGATGAAGAATGGTAAGGGAGGAGGCCAGGGGCCTTGACTTTGCTCATCCATATTGGCATAGCCATCTACCAGAACACGGGCCTTTTTGGCTGTGGCACCAGCCCTTTTGAACTGGCTCCTGGTTGAGCTGCCCCTGGACCTCTCCCTGCCTACTTTAAGAGGTTTCTCAAGATGCTGCTCTTCACAGAGGCCTTTGATGGCAAACCTCCCATTTGCCCCTTGCCCTGCCTATCCTGTTATGGGTTATTGTTCACAGCATCCCTGGTTTATGATGGTCGAGTTGATTTGTTCCTTTATTTTTATCTTTGTTGTTGTCTTATTTTTATTTATATTTGAATCTATTGATTCTTAATCACCCAGAATAGTGTCTCACACTAATGGGGCAGTAAACAACCAACCAACCAACCAACCAACCAACCAACCAACCAACCAACCAACCAACCAACCAACCAACCAACCAACCAACCAACCAACCAACCAACCAACCAACCAACCAACCAACCAACCAACCAACCAACCAACCAACCAACCAACCAAACAAACAAACAAACAAACAAACAAACAAACAAACAAACATGAACCTAGACAACAGACCCACAGGGCACACATGTCACCTGCTCATCATTTTCACCATTTGAATGAAGTGTATTGTAATTCCATTTTAGTTATAAAAATAATGTGCGCATATAAATAATTATACAGGGTTCTCTTCCATAGCATTGGCAATCCTTTCTGTATGTAACGACCTTTAAAGATCATTATTACCCCAATTCCATTTTAGTTATAAAAATAATGTGCTCATATAAATAATTATACACGTCAACAGTGTTGGGGTTAGGGGTGGTGGACCGCTCATGTAGTTCAAAATCCATGCATGATTCCTATGCCCTCCCCCAAACATAATTTCAAAGCATAAATATTTGATTAACACACACACACGTACATACAGAGAACAGTTGTTTCTATGAGGGTTCTCTACCATAGTATTGGCAATCCTTTCTGTGTGTAACGAGCTTTAAAGATCATTATTACCCACTGGTCTAGAGACTGAGTTAGAGATGTTGTGCTTGGGGGCAAGTAAACCATTTTAATGCTTTTAGTGCTGAACTGTTCTGGGATACAGTGTTTATTGACTATTTATTGACTAGTTAGTTAGTTAGTTAGTTAGTTAGTTAGTTAGTTAGTTAGTTAGTTAGTTAGTTAGGTAGGTAGGTAGGTAGGTAGGTAGGTAGGTAGGTAGGTAGGTAGGTAGGTAGGTAGGTAGGTAGGTAGGTAGGTAGGTAGGTAGGTAGGTAGGTAGGTAGGTAGGTAGGTAGGTAGGTAGTGGGGTAAAATCTCTGTATAACCAAAACTACTCTGTTCAGACCAATGCAATTCAAGGGAGAAACCTATTTGAAATGCTGGAAGATGTATAAATAGGAAGGCAAGTGTCTCTTGGATGAACAGTTGCCTCTCATTTCATGAATGTCTCAGCAGCATGCTGTTCATAATCATATTATAGAAATAATAATAATTATTTTTAATTGTAATGGCAGATAAGGAGAATAATTTTTGGATCAAGCGTTTGTTTGGCTGTTCACATGAATAGTTCCTGCATAAAGCTCAGTTATTGATTTTAGTCTTATCTCCTGGCCTAACATGCCTGGCAGAGGTTTTGTGCAGGTAGCTGTAGAGAGACATCTCTGTAGGACAGGATGGAAAAATGTAAGTACATGAATGAACAAGTTAATTGGATTGGCAGAAAGTGTTCTGGTTTAGTTTTCTTCTTCATGTTTTTAGTTCAGATTTCTTTGCTTCTTGCCTGTGTTTCTAGTCTTTGGAATTAAGACCGAGCTGAGTAGTTATAGTAAGAGGGCTGAGAAAACAGCTTTACGAAACTAGACATAATTGAACTAAATTGCAACATAGATCTTTCTGAGAAATGAGGCAGTTAATGGGAGTGAAATCCAGAATTAGTAGCTCTGAGGTACTAATGCAGTGGGACAGATAGCACTGACCCACAAAGTAAGTATTGTGGGAGAATGTTCCCTTGTACGACAGCCTGTGCGTAATCAATGAGAAAAGAATATTTTAAAAAGAAAATGTGCCGGCACATTTTTCATCCCTTTTTTCAAGTTTCCCATAGTAAGAATACAAACAGTATAATGTGATTTGGGCTCCCCCCACCCCAGAGATTAATTGTATTGTGTCACAGCTCAATTCAGCATCCCATAAGCCTGATCAAAAATGAGGTGTGCCCCAAACAAAAACTCATAATTTTGATGCTGGGTCTCACATCAGCACTACATTTGGCACAGCTGTATCAGACAGTTTGCTCTTGCTCTGTGCTGAATTTGGGCACATTTGGAGTTTTTTTAAGAAAGAATAACACCACCACAACAGCTGAGGTTGTCACTGCACCACCTAATACAGGATGTGGGAACTCAATGGGAATCTACTTTCTACCTTTTTGAAAGAGTGTTGGACAGCGAAGGGATTGGTCTCTTTTGGCTTTCAGGGCTCCTGCATATACACCTTTACCTCTGCTTCTGCCATGCCCTTCCTCTTACACTGGAGACTTTCATTTGTGTGGCTACTGCTCTGGGCAGAGAAGAGTGGAACATCATGGGTCAAGTGTCTTCCAAAGCTTTGAAAGTGCAACACAGGCCCTTAGTGGGGAGGCTGCCATTCTTAGCCAAAGGATCCCAACGTTCCAGGGCTTGGTTGACATGATGGAGGGCATAACAGTCTAGATAGATGGGGAATTCCATAGAGGGAAAGCAGCTCCCCCCCCCCGTCTGAAGTGGTGGACCTGGCCAGCAAGCTAAAGGATCTGCTGCAGTACAGATTTGCCTTCTTGTGGGAGAAGAGGAATACGTTCTACCAACCCTCTTGATCCCCTGAATTGAACACTGGGCAATGGATATTAAACAGCAGCAAGAGATGGGGCAATGCCAGCCAGCTTTCCATCACATGCAGCAGCACCTAGTGAAGAAGGTTCAGCTAGTGCTGAAGGATCACACAGAGCAGGAAGAAACCAGCAATGTTCATAGCATCCTATAGAGCAGTACCAGCAGTTGTATTCTAAAGTCCCTCAGCCCTGCAACAAGAGGACACTGTCTTGACAAGCATGGCAGTGGTTTGTCTTCCCGAAACACTACCCCAGAGGAACGGCATGGCAGAAGCAGAGGTGAAGGTGTACATGCAGGAGCCCTGAAAGCCAAAAGAGACTGATTCCTTGTCTTATGGGCTTTGAAGGAGTCTGTTTGGGGAGATCTGGCAGTCTGCTCACCAACTAGTGTGCCCAGTGAGAGAGTGTTCTTTCAGGCAGGGGAGATTTTCCTTAAAGTCAACCTATCATTGTTGGGCTTCCTTGAAGTCCCCTCTAAGTAAGAATGGCACACTCTGCTCACAGTACTAGATATGCCATGCTTCAGTCTGCTGCCCTCTCCTTCTGTCTTTTTCATTCTTCTAGCTGCTACTCTTAAGATTGTGCTCACTCATTCAACTGTGCTGCTTCCCATGCTGCTGGCACAGTTCCCACCCACCACAGGCAAACTACTACTCCAGTCTGCCTGCCAGTGCTGCCCATGGTATTTCCCCACTTTCTAATGTGATTTGTCTTCTTCGTCTCTAGAAGGAGAAGTGCTGCTGGCACCTCCTGCCAGTTTTCCCACTGTTCATTGTTCCATCCGTCTGTCCATTACAGTCATTTTCTAGCACCTACGCTCTGCTGGTTGTTGGTGTGCACTTTTTTGTTTGGCACTATGACTGGGAAGGTGTCAGTTAATCCTTGTAAAATATTTTGCCTGTTTGTGTTTTTGACTATATATATTGTAAGTTTATATATAGTCTATACATAGTAAACATATAGAACAGAATTCACACAGACACCCAGAGACCAGACCCACATGCACACACATTAAAAATAAATAAATCCCCAAACACTCCCCCCCCCACTAAAAATACAAACATCTACACCGCAGGCTAAGTAACACTGTCCAACTGTTCACTGCTGGTGGGCTTTAAGTTCATTATTAAGTGCAATTATAGCTCTTTGATAATAACTATTCAGAAAATGTGTGGTTCTAGTCTTAATTGTTCTATATCTTCTGCCAGACGGCAACAGTTCAAAAAAGTTGTAAGCAGGATGGGAAAAGTCTCTAAGGATGTTGTGTGACTTCCTCAGACAGCGGGATGTGAAGATGTCATCCAGGGTTGATAGCTGGAGCCCGATGATATTCTGGGCAATTTTAATGGTTCTCTGTAGAGCTTTTTTTTGCACATTACAGAGCTACTACCAAACCATACAAGAATGCCATAGGTTAGGACATTCTCAATAGTGCTACAATAGTAGGACAGAAATGTAGGAAAGAAGTAAAGGGGGAATGATTCATATTGACTATACTGGGGTTCCATATATCTGGATATGCTGACTTTTAAAAATTCTGAATTCCTGATCCAAAGAATTCTAATTCTGAATCTGAATTTTGGTGCTAGTCCCTAATTTGGACAGTTCCATCTCTTTGTGATTTTGCTCCATGTGTTTACTGCTTTAAATGTTAACTATTTTGCTACATACAGAGGGGAGCAAATTGTCACCCTTCAGATGGTGTTGGACAGCAACTCCCAACAGCACTAGCCACCAAAGCCAGTGGTGAGGCATGATGCGGTTTAAAGGGCCACAGTCTGCTCAGCCCTGTTCTACACCATGTGCACATTCCATGTTTTGCAAATTATAACATGTCTCCTGAAGTGCCTTTCCCTCTGTATGGAGAAAGAAAGAAGTGAACTTATTTTTAGCTGGTCTTGACTTTTATTGACAGAGTTGTTTCACTCTTTTTCTTTCTTCAACCTTTCCTTTGACCATTGCAGCTTTTACAGAAAAATGGGCAGATATCCAGCCTTAACGGAATTGCAGAAGAGCAAGTTGCACTCAGCCTCAAGCCAGAGGAGCTGAATGGACAGCAGCCAGAAGGCACCGTTACAGATGGTAAGGAGATGCCGGTAACTGCAGCAAACATTGCGTAGAAATGTGGAAAAGACAAATGGGAAGTGAAGACTTCAGATATTTCTATAGTGCATAGACTCCTTGAGCTAAAGATCATTATTTGGGGCTCATTTCTCTAAAGAAATAATTGACACCTCTAATAGCAGCATGTGCCTCTCGAGGGAGAGCAGATACCTGGATTTATTCCCCATCTCCAGAGGTGTGAGCCGTACTATTGCTCATCCTGTGAAATACTAATTGAGTTCAGATAGAAGGTGAAATGTCCTATTTTTCCTTTTTCTCCTGACTGTGTGCTTGCAGACCATACAAGTGATCCCTGCAAGGAATGGGAGGCCTGTGCCTTCCTTCCACATTCTAACTTCGCTTTCTGTCTATACACCATATACATGCTTATGTTCTGAAGCATAAGTAGCTGTCATGGCTAATGAACAAAAGGTGGGTTGAGGATCTCTGCAGTAGCAGCAGGACTTAGTGATACGCAAGCTGGATTTGATTTCAATAAAATGTATTTAAATTGCTGTTTTAAAGATTTGATATAACCTTGTGATTTTTTCGCTTTCTAAATTGAATTATTTGCTTACTATAACATTAATGCATATAGTAGGACCCCCATATCCATGGGATCATTATCTGCTGATTGACTTTTCCACAGTCTGAAAATATTACAAGAAAAATCCTAGAAATGTTTCTAAAGATGAAATTACCAGAACTGGCCACTAGAGGGAGCCAGAGA